GCTCTGGGCCGGTTCTTACCCCCGGCCGTGCCGCAGGTGGGCCCCAATCAGCGAGGAAGTTAAATAATTAAAAGGTGTTTTTAAAATCCCCAGAGGAATTTTTTTTTTTTTTTTTTTTTTCTTGCACGTCAAAAATATATATTCTGAGCAAGACAGGATTTTTTTTATCGGTAGTTTGGTTAAGGAAAGGGTAAAACCTAAAAGCGTGCTGAGCAAGGCTGGCAACAGAAATGGTCTGCAGGTGGAGCGCTGGGATTCCACCTATGAAGGACCTTTATATCAAGATGTTTTATGTTTCAATGCTTGAGAAGATGGCAGAATTCCACCAGTGGGATTTTCATGCAGGTGAGGGGAAAAGGCCAAGTATCTGCATCTGTTTCAGACCTGAGCTTAATTATTTTTCTTTGGCAATAAGGTATGCCGAGGAGGAAGAACAGCGAAGACATGAAATGTTAAGATGCTGACTTTGCTTTGATATCGATCTCATGTTGGCAGCATCTCTTCCTAAGCCAGGCTTATTAGCTTGAACGGAAAAGAGGGGGAGGGTATGGAGAGGAGGTAGCATTATATCACTAATGCAACCATCAAATTTTAAGATGAATCGACAATAGTTGCTGATTAAGGGCTTTTTTTGAATTTGTTTATGGTGTGCTTGTTTTGTGTCTTTTTTTTTTTTTGTCTTCCCCCCACCCCCACCTGGTGTGATCCAGTCAGCCTCTGTCAAGCTAAAAGGTTCCTGGCTCTGACTGGACAGTTTGGCTGACAGCACAGTGATAAATGTGCATCTACGACTCTAATTTCCCCCAGTCTCAGAATGATGAGTTATCATGACTTTGTAAAATAAAAACTGCAAAAAAAGAGATGGGCAGAATAATCTCTGCTCTTGCTATTTCATTTGCTAATCAGAGGTGTTTCTACTCACCAGTTTTATTCTGTTGATTAATCTTGTACTTGTTAACTAGGCAAGACCTTACCATGCTTCTCCATTTGTACTGAAAGGCCTTTTTGCTTGGTATATCCTAGCTGTTTAGGTTTTCAGCTGTTCCTGTCTCTTCCTAACTTTTCAGTTTTTAACTTTTCCCTAAAATTAGTCAAGAAACAATAGTTTCTTATTTTTTTTTCTCCCCTCTTGATTTTCTATGCATTATTCCTACCTGTTTCTAATACTAAAAAATAGTCTGCTCTTTAACTAGAAATGCTAGGTTAAGAAAGTCTATTATACCAGGGGACATGAGTAATACCATACAAATTTTGGTACAAAAGTGATCAAGTGGATGCTCTCGGATTGTAATTTTGCATGACTCTTCTGCATAATTGGCAGCAGTCATCCAACTGCTGACTTTTATCTGGGTCTTTATGTCATCCCAGTAACGCCTGCTGACACTTCCTTCTCTTCATCTTGTTCTCTGTCTTTTGCTGCAACAGCATATGCTTCTCATTGCATTATTGTCCTTTCTCGGAAGGCATATAGTTCAATATTCCTCCTATGGCACAGTCCTAAAGATGCGCTCCTGACCTCTAGGTTTTCCCCCATCAAATTACAAGCAAATATCTAGTATTACTTCTAAACTATTAATGTTTTTATTTAGGAACAGGAAGACTACATATGTTAAAAGACTGATCTGCAGAGGACTTGAGTTTTTGCTTCTAGTTCTTGAAGAACCAGATCCTCCTCATTAGACAAATAATAATCAGAAGACTGGATATATGTAAGTTTTTTTTAAAAACTGCAGTGTAGTGCAGAACAAGAACAAAAATGTAGTAAGGAGCCAACACAAGGAAAAATAAACATATTCAAAATCTCACTGAAAGCCCTTCTTTAAAAACAACAGACCAACCGGAAAAAAAACCTGAACAGAACAAACAAACCCAAAAGCAAAAAACCCAGTAAACTTTAAGATATTTGGAAAGACAAGATCAACATTTTGAAGATTCACTACACAGTACAACCTAGGTAGTATCCATTGCTGTATAGCCTGATCGCTCCCTGCACCAGTAATAAAAAATAGTACATTATTTTTGATCCATTGTGTTTGTCTATATGATTTTCCAGCTTTCACCAGGGTTGGGGGGTGGAGGCACTTTGATTATTTCATACACAGCTGGCAGAAGCATACTGTAATCAGACATTGTTATCACAGATGAGAATCCCTAATATCTTCAGTCTGACAACATGGAGAGTATAATAAGAGATAGGAGAGCAGATTTCAACCTCTTCAGGGATCTGCTTGGTAGGATATCATGGCATAAAATCCTGGATTGGAGAGAAGTCCAAGAAAGCTGGTCAATATTCAAAGTTTACCTCCTCCAAGTCCAGGAGCAATGCATACCAAGAAAGAGGAAGGCAGGCAAGAATGCCAGGAGACGTGCATGGATGAACAAAGAGCTCCTGGGCACTCTTAAGACAAAAAGAAGAAAGTCTTCAGGTGGTGGAAGCAGGGACAGGTAGCCTGGGAGAAATAGAAGTTGTCCAAGGAGCCAGGGATCATGTTAGGAAGGCAAACACCAGGTAAGAGTTAAACCTGGCCAGGGACATGAAGGGTAATAAGAAGGGTTTCTACAGGTACATCAGTGCTAAGGAGCAGAACAGGGAAAATGTGCGCCCACTGCAGAATGAAACAGGAGACCTAGTCACGCAGAATACGGAGCAGGCTGAGATACTGAATTATTTTTTTTGCCTCAGTCTTCACCAGTAAGGGCTCCAGCCACATCATCCAGATCACAGAAGGCAAAGGTGGAGATGGGAAAAAGGAAGATCTGCCCACTGTAGGAGAAGAGCAGGTTTGAGACCATCTAAAGAAACTTAAAAGCGCACAAGTCTGTGGGACCTGACAAGATTCATCCAAGACAGCTGACAGGTGAAGTTGCAATGCTGCTTTCCATCGTATTTGAAAAGTCATAGCAGTCTGCTGAAGTTCCCACTGACTGGAAAAGGGGGAACATAACCCCCATTTTCAAAAATGGAAAGAAGACCTGGGGAACTACAGGCCAGTCACCTTGATGCCTGGTGAGATCATGAATCAGATCCTCCTGAATGCTCTGCTAAGGCACATGGAAAACAGGGAGGTGGTTGGTGGCAACAAACATGGCTTCACCAAGGGCAAATCATGCCTAACAAATTTGGTGGCCCTTTACGATGGAGTCACAACATCAGTGGACAAGGGAAGAGCAATTGACATCATCTACCTGGGCTTGTGTAAAGAATTTGACACTGTCTTGCATGACATCCTGGTTTCTAAACTGGAAGGATGGATTTGATGGATGGGCTACTTGGTGGATAAGGAATTGGCTGGATGGTTGCACTTAGAGAGTATTGGTCAATGGCCTGATGTCCAGATGGAGACCTGTGACGAGTGGTGTTCCTCAGGGGTCAGTACTGGGACCGGTGCTGTTTAACATCTGTCAGCAACATGGACACTGGGATTGAGTCCACCCTCAGGAAGGTTGCTGACAACACCAAGCTGTGTGGTGTGGTTGACATGCTGGAGGGAAGGGAGGCCATCCAGATGGACCTTGACAGGTTTGAGAGGTAGGCCAATGCCAACCTCCTGAAGTTCAACAAGGCCATGTGCAAGGTCCTGCACCTGGGTTGGGGCAACCCCAAGCACAAATTCAGATAGCGTACAGAATGGATTGAGAACAGCCTTGAGAAGAATCTGGGTGTGTTGGTCAATGAAAATCTCAATATGAGGTGGCAGTGTGCACCTGCAACCTAGAAAGCCAACTATCTCCTGGGCTGCATCAAAAGAGTGTGGCCAGCAGGTTGAGGGAGGTGATCCTGCTCCTCCATTCTGCACTCATGAGATCCTACTTGGGGTCCAGTTCTGGAGCCCACAACACAAGACAGACATAGAGCTGTTGGAGAGAATCCAGAGGAGGGCCGCCAAGATGATCCAGGCCTGGAGCACCTCTCCTATGAAGACAGGCTGAGAGAGTTGGGGCAGTTCAGCCTGGAGAAGGGAAGGCTGCAGGGAGACCTTAGAGCAGCCTTGCAGTACCGGAAGGAGCCACAGGAAAGCTGGGGAGGGACCTTTTACAAGGGCATGTAGTGGTAAGACAAGAGGTAATGGCTTTAAACTGGAACAGGATAGATTTGGGTTAGACATCAGGAATAAATTCTTTACTGTGGGGGTGGTGAGGCACTGGAACAGGTTGCTCAGGGAGGTTGTGGATGCCCCCTCCCTGGAGGTGTTCAAGGGCAGGTTGGATGGGGCTTTAAGCAACCTGCTCTAGTGGGAGGTGTCCCTGCCCATGCAGGTGGGTTGGAACTGGGTGATCTCCAAGGTCTCTTCCAACTCAAACCATTCTATGATTCTATTAATATGGGAAGTGGCTCAACATCATCACTAAATGCTCACAGCAGACAAATTGCAGATATGTTTGACAGGAATTGTTGAAAATAGTTGTAGAATAATAAAGTAGGTCTCTTTCTATGGCTTATTTTCTTCATCTGAATATGTGCTGTTTGAATGTTTAACTGTGTATGCAGTTTAATTGCTGTAAAGCTGTTACGAGTTAGTTTGTGTTTGTCTGAAGCTATAGATGACTTCTGAACATTTACTGAGAAGTACATTATTGTATCAGTAGAGTAGTGGAAGTCAGTTCTACCAATAAGTGCTATTTTTTTTGATTCAGAACAATGAATTCTCCATCTACTACAGTAATTTAGACATTATGTAATTTTATTTTTTTTTTTACTGATGGATTTTCTTGTAATTTACGTGAACTTCATTGCTCATCTGGATGTTATATCCTTCTGAAGTTAAGCTGTTGCATCCTTAAAACTCCAGAGCCATGGCAGGAGGCTGCTGTTGGCCACTTCTTTTTACCATGCAAAATAGCTTTACACATAACAGACATAACACAAAACAGGCACATGGTTTGTTTTGATGAGAAACTGTTTGGTGACTAATATATTGATTTCATCTTGTGTAAAGAAAATTCACTGTCTTTGATATCTTTTGAAAATGACAGGTTTTTTTGAAAATGGACCCACTGTTCAAGGAATATTGCTGCTTTAATTTGGTTCTAGAAGTACTATGCAAAGGTTAAAAAAGTAAATGTAGGCAGAAATGGAACTTTTCCGTTTCAGCCAAGGTTTGGAATTTCATGGGGTTTTCAGGATTTTTTTTGGGATGCAGAAACAGGATGTTATCTCTGATGAGGTGGTAGGATCTCTTGATTCCTTTCCATGCAGTTGTGATGAGGGTTAGGTGGTACAGAAAGCTGTTTTGTGGTGGTTCCAGACTATTCAGCTTTACTTTCAAAAGTGTTGATGTGGCCCATTTTGAGAATCTAGGCAAGAGTAAAACAGAAGCATATCAGTGGAGCAGGTCACTTTTACATAGCTACTATGCTCAATTTGATTAGTTAGATATGCAAAATACTTCTGTAAAAATTGTGCTAGCAGCTATAGACACATAAGATAACTTTTGCTATGGAGTCAGTAAGTTAGTCTTCCCCTTGCAGCAGCTATCATTAAAAATAATTTTAAAATCCAGTCACTAAAGACTAAACATCGCCAATGGACTGATTCTCGGTTCCCTGTTATGTTTATGGAGTTGATTTTTGTTTTTAGAAGGCTCAGAATTTGAGCTGGGGAAATGTAGAGAGACGCTTTCAAAATTAAGCAGAGATCCTTGTACTGCGAAACTTACAGACTATGGCAAAATATACATAATTATTAAATATTCAAAGGAGAATGAAGTGTCAATCTCTGTTCATTTCTGTGAAAAAAATAATACCAATTTCTTTCAGGCTGGACCATTAACCAAAGTGACGATTTGTAAGGACAAAGAAGGAAAACCCAAGTCTTTTGGATTTGTCTGCTTTAAACATAAAGAATCAGTGCCTTATTCGATAGCTTTGCTGAATGGAATCCGTTTGTATGGAAGACCAATTAAAGTGCAGTATCGGTTTGGTATGTTTAGTAGTCTCAATAATTAAGGCTTTGTAATTTTTTCCTTTTTTAATGACTATTTTTGAATTCTACAGTCTTTCACAAAGATGTCAACTTGTAGTGGAAACAGATTAGAGTCCTTACTTTTTTAAAAACCAAAACTTCCTGTGGCTTTTGCATAGGGGAGGATTCAATCTTTGTATTTTTTGTTTACTAAGAGAATACAATTGGTTGGTTCAGAACAACAACTTGCAAGCCAGTTCAGCCTATGCTATGGAGAACATAGCAACACAGGTTTTCATGCCAGATTACATATAGGAATCAGGTTGTAATTTTAACCTGCAATCTGGCAGGAAAAGTTGATTCAGAAGGCACAGCAACTATCAAGCTGTTTTGTAACACTGGCTTTAGTTATAGAAACTACAGAGCTGTTGTTCTAAATGGAATGGATTGTAGTTTGAAGATTATAATCAAATCAGACCACATTCTTCATTTTGTGTTTATGAAGGTAAGCCTATAAAGCAAATAATCAGGCAGCACTGGCAACCCAAACATTAAGGACTCCTGTTGCCACTATGCACTGCCACTCCTTACTTCTAAGGCTGTACAGAGCAGTTGCTGGGTTAAGTGGTATGGCTGAGGTTCAGAAGCAACTCCTGTGTCTGTAACCAAATGGGAATTTTGTTTACTTCAACAGCCATGATTTATGCTTCTGTACTTGAATAAATGATAAATTAGCGTTTTCAAGCAGTAAAATGACATGATAGATCATCTGCCATAATACTTGTATATACCACCTTAGCTATACCAGCACATTATAGATTGCACAGAAAACTTCCTGGTTTTTTAATTGTTAATTGAATAGTTGTAACTGAATAGTCATTATGCTCTTGTCTTATTTACAGGGAGTTCTTACTCATCAGAACTAAACAGCCCTACACATGGTTTTGAAAACTTTATTGACTTATATTCACCTTCATATAGGTAACAAAGATCACCTGTGAATGAACTGTATTATTATAACTTTTAAAAAATGATTAAGAAAATCAGTTGATGTGATAGAGCAGTCTTTAAGTATTTCATTAGAACAGCTGTTGCATGCTTTAATTGCATCCTTACTGATGACGTGCCATGGGCTGCAGTTAATTTTAACATTTCGTTGTTTAGCTTGCCAGAAGTTCAGTTAGTTTGAATTCTCTACTCTTTGTTTCTGCAAGATACAGGACCATGAGAAAACACTGAAATATGGTGTTTGTACTAAAAATGTTTGCAGTTTTTAGGGGAAAATGGAGACAGTGGAGATAAACTTTTTAAACTCCACTGAGTTTGTACCTGTATTTTTTTGTGTGTATATGTATGAACAGCTGTCATGTGCATATGAATTCACAAATATAAACCTGTTACAACGGAAGCCTGAACGCCTCAGATTCAGTAATTTTTCAGTGTTTCAACATCTTTATTTTCAAATGTGACAGAACTCTCTGTGGAAGCTAAACTCGCATGGGGAAATGCAGAAGTCTTTTGTGTCTGCACTTAAGTACATGTGAAGATTACTTGTTAATTGAGCCTTTGGGTGTATTTTCCTTATTAGTTTTTTTTTTCACGGAAGTCCAGTTGTTAATATCTCTTTGATTTTTTCATTATAGCCCAAGAGTTAAGTCTTAGCACTTGGGTAAGCAGTATGTGATGAACATCTAGTTTTTGTACATTTGCTTTTTTTTCCTAGGTATCAAGAGCCTTATGGAAATCCTCCATTTCCTGTTACTCCTTTTCCCATGAAGAATAGTTTACCTCATGAATATTTAGGATTTCAGAAGATGGTGAGTTTATGTTAAAAGTTAACAATTTGGGAGCTTTTTAATTAAGTTGAATGTATTCTGCATTTCTGCAAACAGTGATACTTGTTTAATGAGGTTTAGGCTCCTGGCTTTGATGGTATTAGGTCTATTTCTTTTAGCACTTAAGGGTACTAATGTAACAGGAGATCTACCAAACCAAACTGTTTTCTTACTGCAAAAGTCTCTTAAAGGTATATAACTTAGGGAGGCTAAACATGTCAAAGTCTACCGATAGAAGTCTCTTGTGTACTGTGTTGCAAATCAAATCCCCTTGGTGAGAAAACTAACCTAGTAAAATTACAACCATGCAAGCAGCACCTTCTTCATATACAGCTAATTCAGTCAGGGAACATCTTAACTACTCAATTCAGAAGAGCCCAGCAGAAGTTTGACATGTTCTAAAACCAAACATAAAACTTGCCCGGCAAATCACTACTGTCCAAGCTAGGGCAACAGTGTGACCATTTCTGGCCTGAAGCTTTTCATGCCCCTGCAGTTCTCACATTCATGATTTACTTTCACAGCAGTAGGCAGTGAGAACCCATATTCCACTTCCTCTATAACAGGCTCTGGAGCACTTGGCCATTCTTCCTCTAGTCTCTTTTATCCAAGATACTCCATAAGGCAAGGGAACTGGGCTCAAGCTGTGGGCCAAACCTTACTCACCGAACACATCATGAAGCTTCCAAGTCTGATGAGTATGGATCAGTAGGACTGAAGAAACCTAGTATTTAATGTGAGGTGTCACTTGTGGACAGGAGTGCTGCCACCCCGTCTGACTGAGGAATGAATGGTCAGCCCTTTCAACTATGGAAGGGGTGAAGTCTGGACAGATAACCCTTGCTAGCTGCAACTGAGCAGGAAAATGGAGAGGGTCTGTTCCCTGTTGTACAGACATAGTGGCCTCAGAAGAGCTGGTGCTTGCACAGACTTTCCCACCCCCTCCACTCTGGTTGGAAGGCTCAGGAGTGTACTGTCTCCCACTGTGCTCACCAAATAAACTACTCCTTAGGAAACACCGAGAGACCAAACTTGGCAGGTCAGCACACACAGCCAAGTTCATCCCATTTTTTGCTTGCCAGAAGGGATGGCATTGCAGTGTTTCTGCAGTTGTTTTTCCTTGCAGCTTCAGCAGG